GGGTTCATTTACCATGGGGTACTTAAGAATGCAGTATATAGGCAGCATTCTAAACTATGACTTGATTTCAGCAATCAGAAAAATTCTAGGTCTGGGGCAGAAATTTCACTTAATTTGTTATAGTAAAAATTCATGACTTTTCATCAAGTTTCCAGATTCAAACTAGTTCATAGACCCACAAGGCCTTGTTTGAAATGGAGGTCAGCACCTGTAATCCTGCCGCAGTTCATTTCTTAAATATTCTCCCGAATCTTCCTCAGAAGGACACATGACATACAGCTACATTTGGAAATGCCCTGTGGAAAGGGATACACCCAGACTTCCCAGGAGTTATTAAATCTTGGCCCCAGGTTTATATTAATTTGTATGGAATTAAAACACCGCCGTGGTCTGGTGGTATATTGGTTTCCCATTACTACTGTACCAAATTACTGCAACCTAGCGGCCTGAAACAACACAAATGTATTGTCTTACCATTCTGGAGGTCAGAATTCTGAAATAGGTTCTAAGGGGCTACAGTCAAGATGTCATCAGAGCTGCATTTCTTCGAGAGGTTCCAAGGGAGAATTTATTTCTTTGCTTTTTCCACCTGCATTCCTTGGCTCATTAATCCCCTGACCCATGGAGAGAAATGATGATAGAAAAGGCCAAGTGGAAGCACCTTGAACTGTCCTTCCACATCCATATGGTCAGTGATAGTGCAAAAGTAATACTGCATTCCTGGGCAAGTACACACATTGGTGTCACTATATAAGGACCTGAAAGATGCAGGAATGCTAGTTCCTTATCCTCTACTCGGTTAACCTCCCTGTTCAGTCTGTGCAAAAGAAGGATAATGGAAAATAAGTATGGATCAGTATTCGCTGCCATTTCCACTGTGATAACTTTACTGGATCAAACAATATAGTCCTAGTGTCTTGGGCTGTTAACCTGAAAAATACTTTTTTTTCTTGAATCTAATTAATAAGGACCATCCAAAAGAGTTTGCCTTCACCTGGAGTGGTCAGCAGTGTATTTTTACCATCTTACTTCAGGGCTATGTCAACTCACTTGCTCTGTCATAACATAGTCTCCTGGGACCTTGATCATCCTGAAACCCCATAGAACATCACACTGCTGACCTTAGGCTAATTGGACCTTGAGAACAGTAAGTAGCAAGTTCCTTGTATGCTTTAGTAAGACAGATGTGACCAAAGAGTAGAGGTTAAATCCTATGAAGAATTTTGCAAAATTTCAGGGGATTCAGCAGTCTAGAGCATATTATGGTATTCCCCCCTAAAATGAAAAATAAGATAGTAATGAACTCATCTATAAAACAGAAACAGACTCGCAGACATAGTAAACAATCTTATGGTTACCGGAAGGAAAGGGGGTGGGAAAGGATAAATTTGGGAATTTGAAATTTGCAAATGTTAACTACTATATATAAAAATAGATAAAAACCAGATTTCTTCTGTATAGCACAGAGAACTATATTCAATATCTTGTAATAGCCTTTAATGAAAAAGAACATGAAATCAAATATATGTATGTGTGTGTGTATATATATATATATATATATATATATATATATGTATGACTGGGACATTATGCTGTACATAATACATTCCAACTGACTAGACTTCAATTTAAAAAAAGGAAGAAAAATAAGTCCTTACAACTTGTACACCCACCACAAAGAGGAACAATGTTTGCCAGATCTTTCTGGATTTTGGAGACAGCATATACCACAGCTGGGTGTGCTTCTCCAACCCATTTGCTCAGTGGCATCTAAGGCTGTCTGTTTTGAATGGAACCTGGAGCAAGAGAGGGCTCCCTAGGTCTAGGCTACAGTGCAAACTGCCCTGATGCATGGGTCTCAGTGACCTGGCTGACGGTAGTTATTAGAAGTGTCTGTGGCAGCCAAAGCCCCTGGCAAGCCCCGAAGGAGAATCATAGAGGATATGCATAAGGTTTTCAGAACAAGGTCATGCCCTTTGCCAGTTTACTAGTTATCTATTGATGTACAGTAAAGTACCCCAAACCTTTGGGGTGCATCTTAGATGCTGGCTACAACAGTCAATGACTATTCACTGTATGAAAATCAGCTCCTCTCTTTCTATAAGGCCGTGGTAGAGACTGAAAGCATGATCATGGAACACCTAGTACATTAGTTTGCTGGGGCCACCATAACAAAGTACCATAGACTGGATGGTTTAAACGACAGAAATTTACTGTCTGATAGTTCTAGAGGCTAGAAGTCCAAAGTCATTGGATCAGCAGGGTTGGTTCCTTCTGAGACTTTGAGGGAAGGATCTGTTCCAGGTCTCTCTGCTTGGCTTGTAGATGATCATCTTCTTCCTGTCTGTGTACATCACCTGCCTCTGTTTTCAGATTTTCTTTGTATAAGGACACCACTCAGATTAGATTAGATCCCACCCTAATGACTTCTTTTTAACCTGATGACTTCTACAAAGACTCTATCTCCAGATAAGGTCACCTTCTGAAACACTGGGGTTTGGGACTCCAACATAGCTTTTTGGAGGGGACACAGTTCAACCTCTAACTATGTAACCTGAGCTGCGATAATGAACTGGGGACCACTTGATCCACCAAATGATAAAGTTGGGTATGTTCAGCAATATCCTACAATAAGTGAAAACAGTACTTACAAGACATAGCAGATGTGCACAAGTGGTCCAGAAGGCATAAGAATAGCACATGAGGAGAGAACTTAGACTCCCACATTCCCACTGCTTCAGTGTCTCTCCCTCAACACACACCTATAGCTTCACGGCAGTTCCCCACAACCAGGCAATGGAGGGAAGAGCCAGCCTTATGCAAAGTAAGCTGGCGCCAGTCGTAAATGGACGGCTGCTATGTCAGCCCTCTCAGGGATGCTCTGAAATGTAGTAGAAAGAGAAACCTTCCTGACAGCCAGAACTTTGAGTAGTACATCTGTTTTCCATTTTGCAAGGAAAGAGAGATGGCCTGATACAAGATCTACACTGACTCATAGGTGATGGCTAATATGTTAGCCAGCTGGTTCCTTAGGGACTTGAAAAAAACAAGATTGAAAGACTGGTAACAAAGAAGTCAGGGTGCAGGAGATTTAGGAAAGAATCTCTCAAAGTGGGCAGGGTGTGAGGATATCTGTGTTTCACAGACTATATTCCAGAGAACAAGATGATCTGCCAACTTTCCTCCAGCTTCCCCAGGGCTTGCTGAAAGTATAGTGACACGGTGCAGGTACGGAGGTTAAGTGTGTGCTCAACTGTAAGGACTTCCCTCCTCCACTGCTGAGTGTGCAAACTGGTGAGAGCAGAGGCCAACACTGAGCCCCCAATATGACACCATCCCCTGTAGCCCTTGTTGGATGGCCTCTCTTCAAAGCTCCAGCTTGCAGGCTGCAATAACAGTATTGACTCACAGCAGTTGGGAGAGGGAAGAGGGGATGGATTTGAGAAATACTTGTAAAGGCAAAATGGAGGGGAATTGGTGGCCAATTGAATAGAGCAAGAGTGGAAAACAATACTGAGATGACTGAAGTCTTTAGTTTTTGTAATCGGTGAATAGTGACACTTTTAATGAAGACAGAGTTGATCAGAGAAGGGTAGGGTGAGGCTGGTGGAAAGGATGAAGAGTGCAGTTTGAGTCTCTGGAGGTGGGTAAGTGTATGTCATAAGCAGCTAGTAGCCAGAGGCAGAAAGATCCCTGCGTTCAGAAACAAAGTCTGGATTGGAGACAAAGGATGGAAACTGGAATTTAGTCATAGTCATATGTCAATATCCTGTAGGATTTTGCATTTTTAATCTTTTGCCTTTAACTATGGTCAGAGAGGCTTTGTTTTATTGCTGAGGGAACAAGCTGAAGAGGCCTTTTAGGGGGCAAGAGTACTTATCCTTGAGAAGAAGTAAACATAGAAGGGCCATAACTGCAAATGTTCACCTGAGTATTTCAGACTGAAAGGGCCAAGTGCACAACCTCACCTCTCTTGTCTACTTCTCTGTCTCCAGCATCTGGATGAGAGTCTGGCAATTTGTAGCCACTCAAATACTGTGGAATGGGTGAAATGAATAGGAGCATGTGGGAAGGAAGGAAGGAAGGAAGGAAGGAAGGAAGGAAGGAAGGAAGGAAGGAAGGAAGGAAGGAAGGAAGGAACCTACAGGGCATCTTGGGGAGCTGGGGGAAAGAGAAGCCACACTTGACCTTTTTCTTTCCTCCACATCCTCTTTGCAAAACTGAAAGATGAGCAGTCCATTAAGAACACGAACTCTGAATTCAGGCTCCATGACTTCCTAGCTGCCTTGACTTGGCGAGGTGACTTTAAACTCTCTGTCCCCAGAGTCTCTAGTCCCTGTAAAATAAACACATAAATGCTTAGAGCAGCTCCTGGGAAAAAGTAAATTCCGCATAAATGTTAGTGTTATTATTTTTGGCATCTTGATGAGAAGGTACGCTTACAAGACCAGCTGGAAATTCCCTGCTGAGAATGAATCCAGACACTTAGCCTCTAAATGCCATCCACACGTGAACAATCACTTTTTCTCTCTCGGCCTTCCAGAAGTTTAAACACTCCGTAACTCCCCAACCTACCATTCACTGGCAAAGGACAGAAGCCTGGGTTTTACTTCTACCTTCCAACAGTGGGCTGTGAGTCTGCAGAGCCCCGTGCCCTCTCTGGGCTCTGTCCCCTTGCCTGTCCAGGGGCTGAGCGCCAAGGTCCCCTTTCAGTTAAGGCGGACCACGGTCTCCCGGTCTGCAGCCTCGGGTCACCGCGTCGGATGCCGGCTCCCTCCAAGCTCGGGCGCTCACACCCCTCGCGCGCGCGCGCGCCCCCGGGGCCCCGCACCCTGCGCGCCCGGCGGTCGCCCGACGCCCCGCGCGGCCGTGGGGAGG